CTGCCTCCTGCTGCCGGCAGAGGCTTCGCCCTGGACATCGCCCCCAGGACCTGCCAGCTGCTCCTTCCCACACTGACCCCAAGGTATCCTGACAGGGAACAAGCATGGATTTTAGTTGGCTTTGATGATGGCCGTGCTCAGCAGCTCCAGCTCTTGGACGTCTTTCTGCCTCCCCAGGGCCCGCCCTGTGCTGCGTGGGCTGGGTGCACGTGCTCCCCGCAGCCCTCCAATACCCCTGCCAGGTCCCAGGTGCATTTTTTCCGCTTCTTTTCCCTTGTACATGCTTGGAGAAGCTGGGAGATGGTAAAAATAACCACGATGCATCCTTGCAACTGCTCGGGGCTCAGCTTGCAGCCAGTTGTCCCCGGGGGAGGAGGAGAGCAAGCAAACCACACGTGCCATAGCTCAGTCACGTTGGGCTTGGGAAGTGTCTCAGTTCTGAAACTTGGGTTGAGAGAAGCTGAGCTCAGCAACGCAGATTGACCTCGAGAGGTCCATGAGAAGGGAGAGGTGGTGCGGATGGAGGCAAGCCTGGCTGGGATGTTGCATCCAAGAGAAACGTGCACGTCCCTTTCTGTGAGTAACATCCCAGGACCCTCTGAGATGGGCAAGAAGCAGCCCATCACCCCAAAAAGTCGCTGCACCGTGTGTACCCTGGGAGTGGTGTGAAGCTCTGCCCAGGCACGGCTTTATCTACTTTATTTATCGAATTATCTTGTTTCTTGTTTGTTCAAGCCTTTGAGGACAGGCTGGGATGTCTGATTCCTCTCCACGTGCACAGGCCTCTGGGTTCCTGTGCCAGACAGGGAGGGAGGCAGCTCCTTCCTCTTCCTCCCCTCGCCAAGTCAGCCTCTCCCCAACTCCTGCAGCCCCTGGGACCCAGTGCCACCAGTAGGGCCCCCTCACGCCTGGCACGACGCACTGGAGGGCAAAGGCTGCCCTGCACCGCAGGGACGGAGGAGTTGGCGCCACCCAAAAGTCACCTGAAACCGCTCTGGGTGGCAGGAGGACCTCGCCAGGGCCAGCAGCAACCAGACCGAGACCACCCATGGCTAAACTGGGACCAACTGGAGCCGCGTTGGGACAAACCAGGGCTGCCCTGACGCCCACACTGTGACTACCCACGGCTAAACTGGAGT